CAAAACACTAAGGAAGCATCAAGGAGGAGAGAAGAAAAGTCCTGTTTACCCAAGCGGTCCCATCTTCCTTCTTCCCCATCACAGAGTATCACCGCACAATACTCCCACTACCCTCACCTTGTTGCCATCTGGCTTGACCATCCTTGCCCTCTCTTGGCATTGTGACTGCTCTGCTGTGCTACTTCCTGCATGACCCAGTTTCACATCCCAAATCCAGTTGCTCTACCTCCTGTGTCTCCCTGCCCACATTTCTTCCCCTGTACGTAATTCCCTGTGCTCATTTCTCTTGGATTTCATCCAGTCTCCTTGCCAGGGGAGGTGCAATCCCTTCCCTAGCTGCTTCATCTCCCTCACCCATCCTTATCACAGGTCGTGCTATCTCTGGGCTATCAGTTCCTCTCCCTTCTCATAGTTGTTTACCTGCTCTAACAATCTCCTTCACCTGTGCTCTGCAGGCATGTGATGACAGCTGTCTCTATCAGCTTTCTTCCTCCACTTTTGCTTTAAACTCTTCTGTCCTGCAAACTTTGGTGACCCTCCTGTGTCCATCTGCCCACTCATTCCTTACTCTCAGGGGTGGGAAGAAGTTCAATGAAGATGGCCATATTGTCTCACCCATCTCACACAATCTTCCCTATTCTGCCAGAACTGGTTGTGACCCACAGCAGAAGAAATCTGGCAAACCCTCCACACTGCAACACCACCACCATTGTCAAGGATCATGGGAATGTCAGCTGGGAAGAACTGAACAACCACAATAAGCAGAGTGAAGGCAGGAGGGTGAGAACCATTAGATCAAAGCGCAGGGTCATGCGCAAAGCAAAGATAGTCAGTAAGAAGGAAGACCTGGATGTGATGGTCACTGCCTACAACAAAGCAATTCTGTCATAGCACTGAAAAAGGACGTTTAGCATCTGGTGAGATGTTTACAGTTGAGACAGTGAAGCATTAATGCCCATGTACATGTCAGTCCTGGCAGCTCCTTGCAGCATGCACATTTTTGGTCCACCATGTTGAAAGAGCGGCTCAGATGGGAACATGTAGGGGAATTGGCAAGCAGAAAATGGAGAGGGACAGAGAGCCTAAATCCCCTGGGCTTTGCTGGGCAGGGAAAACCCCAGCTGAGAACACAGGGTGATTTCTCTCTCTACACATATCAAGAGAGACAACATCAAGGAGGGGAAAGAACTAATAAAGTTGAAGAACAAGAGCTAACACAAAAGCAAGCGCGTGCAAATTGGTCTCAGATAAACATTGGCGAGACATAGGACAGAGACTTCTAAGTTGTCTGTCTCTAAGATCCAGCATCTCAGAAATGAGACGCTGGAAAGACTTCCAAATAGGCTTCCTCATTTGTTTAAAGGGGGGATTTAAACACAACTGATAACAATTTAACAGCACAGGATCTAACAAGATCGGCCCAGCACCTCCAAGAAGCAGACTCCCAGACAGAGGCTTTGAGATCTGATGCGAGCCCAGGTATTTTGGACAGTACTCCCCTGCCCCTGCAAGGACCTACATCTGACCAGTCAACCTTTGGAGCCAATGAAGAGAAGGGGATGTCTGGGCCATTGTTATCTAGTGCTCAACCAATTTGGGAGTTGGCTGGGAAGATTTTGGCTCCCCTATAGTCTCCTGCCTGCAGCCACCACCCTGACTCAGAGTTCAGTGATCACCCAACAAGGTTTTCTTTCTTGTTGCATTTGCTGTAGATGTTTTCCAAAGAGCTGAATCCCAAACCCACAAGCAACCACAAGCAGAGAGGTTTTTTCCTCCTTATTTTCTTCGAGGCAGGCAAGACAAATACTTTTCAACAGATATTCCTGAGCATTTATTTCCTCCTGTCTCTGTCCCTTCTTGCCTTCACCTTGATTTACCTCTTAACCTCCTGCCTTGATGAGATTGGCTGAGGTTGCAGGAAAGAGAAGTTGTCAGATGAGCCTGTCTCCAGCCCATGGGATTTTCCTCCTTAAGGGAGCCAGCTTCAGCAGCCCCTGGAATGAAGCTGCCATGGGACAGAATAAGGGATCGGGAATTGCATCAAACTGTGGCCTGCCATGGGACAGAATAAGGGATCGGGAATGAAAGATGCTTGCATCAAACTGTGGGCTTGCTATCTCGTCATGTCTCAAGTCCAGGACAGTCAGCAGTCTGCTCAGTACTCCCAGTACAACGGCCTGCCGGGTGTCACACCAGAAAGCAGCCACAGAATGGGAACTGAGTGGCTGATTATCAGCTGTGTTGGATCAGACTTAGCGGTAACAGTGACAACCAGGTTGAACATAAGCTCACAGTTACTGTCCTTGCCAGCACAGCAACGCACGCTCTGGGAATTCTGTTCAGATTGGACAGTAAAGAAGCCTCCACTGAGAGGGTGGTACGGCCCTGGGACAGGCCACCAGAGAGGCGGGAGATGTCCATCCTTGGAGATTTTCCAAGACTCGGTCACATAAAGCCACAGCCATCCTGATCTAGCGTTAGCAATAGCCCTGCTTTGAGCAGAAGACTGGTCAAGAGACCTCTAGAGGTCCTGTCCCACTGGAGAGGGCAGAAGCATCTCGAGGTCCAAGCATGTTAAGGCTGGGCTGGATCTTCTTCCTTGTGGTGTGCTGCAGACCCCACAGAGCAATACTGCTGGCGATAACCCAGCTAGACTTGCCACTTGGCTGCCATCCCATCTGTGCGGGAAACACAAGGCAGTGAGCCACTGCACCGAGATGTTAAATCCCAGCACAGAAACTCGGTGCCTCGCAGAAAATGTCAAAATGAGAAACACTTATTTTAACAATGAGAAAAGAAAGGCATGGACAACCAAAAGGAGCAATCCGAGGTGTCAGGGTATGCTCCCAGCATCTACCTAGTGACGCAGCATCAGGCCAGGTTATGAGTGGAGGTGTTGGGGCCGCGTCTTGCACCCTTAACTGCACCATCCCACCTTGCTCTTTTCTAGAGATGTCTGGACACGTTCCTGAGGAGGGTTTGCTCCAGGGACTGCTCTTTGGATGAATGGGGCTACACCTGGCACCATCCTCCAACATGTCCCCAGGGCTGGGACAACAGGCTCACTGTTCTGGCAGCCCCCTGCATGGGCTGAGGTTTCACAAGTCCTGAGGACACCCAGGATGAAAGGTTCAGTGGCATGGAGACAGCCAAGAGGCTCTGGGGTGTCACTCAGCTGTAGTGAGGTCTGGCACTGCTTTGTGCACTGATTTAGGTGCAGGCAGAGCCTGGCCACATCATAGCACTTGGTCTCTGGTATAACATCACTGTGCACTGCAGCATCTCATACCCATGCCCCAAAACATACCTGCAGCTGCAGCCCACTGATCCACCGGCAATGATGCTCAAGGAGATCTCTGTCCACCATCTCCCACTGGAGCTCCTGCGGTGCTGGACCACTTCTCAGCCCTGTGGGTGTTGCAGAGCATCTCTGGCTCTCCTGTCCGCGAAGTATGTCTCCTGTATCACGGTCCTGAGCCTGGACCAGCACACATCCAGTCTGCTCTTAGCACTGCTCGGCACTCAAAACACACCAGGCCAAGGGTAAAGGCCCTTTGCATGGAGCTGCCATGTGGGAGCAGACATCAGGCTGATCTGTGGTGCTGCACCAGCCACTGGTCCTGGTCCAGTTAGGTTTCCCCAACATCCAAGGTGAGCTGGCTGGGCCTGGAGGGCTTCATGCATTTTTGGGGTCCCACCTGCACCTGCTATCAGAGATGGCACTTTCCCTTTTGATCATAATTGCCATTACCCAATTGCCAGCAACCAAGAATATTCTGAGGTGGACGGATTAAATTTTGGAGGTTTCCATCCTCCTTTTGCCCTCTTCTGCCCCATGTGCACATGCAAACGCCCCTTGCAGAGGTCTAGTTAGAAAAAAGCACCAGGCAGCAGTTTTCCTCCCCATTGCACCAAATTGACATGTGGGACTCTCTGCCCCAGGACGTGATGGAAAGCAAAAGGGCTTAACAAAAGGGTTTAGAGGAATTCATGGAATACAATCCATCCAGGATCCTTTTACACAGCTGCTGCTTTCCAGAAGGGAGTCCCCCAGCCCATGAACATTCCCTAAATCCTTTACTCCTACACACTGAACCACATCATCTGCCTGAATCCTTCCACCGAACTTCTCCATCACCCCTACCAAAGGGGCAGGACCCCCAAGTCCCCCCCGGCCCGGCATGCTCAGCATCACCCGGCCCCATGGAGATGTCCCAGTGCTGTGCCTCTGTTTAGGATTACATGCTGAGACATCCCAGTTAGCCAGTTTTTAATTAGCATGTGTCATGTTGATTTTATATTGTTTTAATTTCCTAATCAACATGCCAAGTGGTACCAAGTCAAGCATCCTACAGAAACCAAAGTCTACTGCACGTTCAGTGCCAGGGCTGGGAGTATTTGGGGAATCCAATATCCTAACGCAGTTAGGGCCAGAAAAAAAAAAAAAAAAAAAAAAGGCTAATATAATCATCAAATTGCAAAGGATGAGAAATACCATGAAAGAAAATATGCAATGTGAGCAGGCAAAAAGATTTCCCATAGAAAGCTAATGCAACCCCCCCTCTCTGCCTCGATGAACTGCCTATTATCTCTGCTCTGCCCTCCAAAACCTTAATTCCTACTTGGGATTACTTTCCCCATCTGCAAACCTAGATGTAATCAATGAGGGCAAGGCAGCTACTTCTTCAGCTTCAGGCTTGGGTTTAATCATGCTTGTTTATGGTAGAAACCAATTAAAATTGCCTCCAAATTAGGCAAGACTTGGCTTTAGCTCACAGCATGGCAATACAACCCGGGGTGTGGGAGCCAGTGCTTGTTAAGGGGTTGTCTCCCCATGGGACAATCCGTAAATCCAGGTGTTTCAGCAGCAAAGCTTTTCTGTTTGTACCAAAGGGATGTTGAATTTTGTATTTTATGGGATTTAGGACTTTTTTCTGGTGAGGTGAAGGCAGAGTCAGTGCTTTTGCAGCGATGCACACAGCCACAGCGAGAACAGGCACTTATTTAAACAGTTATATGCTGTATTGTTTAATAGAAGTTACAATAGGATAAATGTACAGTTGAAATCAACATGCTAATTTCTAACGCAATTTAACCTGTAAACCATGCAGTCCATTTTTTAATTAGTCCATCTCTTTTTTTTTCTTTTTATCAGTAGCTCTGCTAGTGAGTTTTAAGGAAAAAAAAAAAGTTCCCTTTAAAGTTAAACCTAATTTACTAAATTTTCCCCTTATTGTGCAACGACTTGTGCAAAAAAAGCTGTTTTCACCACATTAGTTTACAAAATCACGTCCTTCTGACCCCCCAGAAAAATGAGAAAAGGCAACACAAGCAGCCAGTGGACAGGGAGGGATGAGGGCGCGGGTGTGTTTTCATGTCAAAATAAATTTAGAGGGATGAGCCAAGGCAGAAAACAACTCGGTGCGGACTGGATCCCAGAAGCACGATGCTGAGTCGCCTGCGGAGGTTTTGGGGTGCTGCCCCCAGGCAGGAGGAGCTGCAGGTGGGATGGATACTCACTCCAGCCAAAGCTCCCCCAGCTCAGCCCTGAGCACCCAGCGTGGCCCTGGGTCCAAAAGAGGGGCTTCAAAAAGACCAGAGCAGCAGCATCTTTGGAGGTGAAGCAAATCAACCAGTCCTCAGGTCACAGCCTGAGCACCCCTTCTCCACCCACTGTTTTTGGGGTGAATCCTCCCCAGACCACGATATATTTGGGTCGCTTCCCTCAAACTCACAACTTTCCCTGTTGACAGCAGAGAAGGGCCCATCTTGAAGTTATTTGTGATGAGATTTATTTGCATTTGTGTTCCCTTCAAGCTCCCCAGCTGTGTGATAAACACACGAGTCACACTGAGGGTGGGACGGACACACAGGGTCTCTGGGCACCACAAAGCCACAGCAAATGACACACAGAGACCCCAGCAGCCCTGCAGCATTCCGGGATGGGACATGCATACAGCCAGGGCGTGGGAGGGTGGTCTGATGCTCCAAACTACTTGCTACTTCAAAAAAAGCAGCAAACCTAACCCAGAATTAAAGAGAAAAGCCAAACGGAGGTGTGGTAGAGAGGCAGGAAACAACCAAGGCCAAAGATGTCTCTCCCTGGGCTTTGAAAGGATGCTGGAGAGACACCTACTGCAAACTTCCCTCACCTGCCACTTCCCATCATCGCTAGCTTGGCAGGGGGGAAAGATTTTGCCCTAAAACCAACTTCAGCGCAGGAAGCGCCGACAGCAGCCAAAGCCACCAGTGTGGCCCCAGCTCCATCTCAACCTCTGCTTTCCACACTGCCTCCCAGCATCTTGCAAACAGTTTGGAGCCAGTGTGCAAACACCCACGCCTTCTGCCCAAACACCCATTTTCACAGCGGCACAAAAGCAGTCAATTTTTAAGAAAACAAAACCGAATCAGGCCCTTGAATAAAGCACCAGCCAGCTTCTCCCCCCCACATCGGAGCCTGGAGTTGCAGTTGGATGTAGAACAAAGTGCAAAATTGCTAAGAGCATCTGACTTGAACTCCAGCCCTAGGAATAAAATAAAAAAAAAAACCAACCAAAAACAAAAAACCAAAACGCCATAAAAAAAATCTCCTCTTCTCTCTCACAGACACGCACACATGCTGATGTCTAACAGAGGCAATCTCCCTCCCGCATAGGTATGGTTTGGGCTGCAAGTTAGCACTTTAAAGACCTTACATAAAATTATCCCCAACCTCTGCCTGTACAGCCCCTGAAGATTATAAAGAAGATAAGATGTGCAAATGGTTCTCAGAAAGCCAAACTTGTCTTTTCTGTTAATATTTTTCTTCCCCATTGGTGCTGAAATATGTTTGCTGGGTGGGGGAAGAGGCGGGGGGGGAAACCCAGTCTTTTCTATAGTCAGTGCTTAAAAAAAAAAAAAAGGTGGATTCAATGTATGTACATGGAGGAGTTAATAACATTATTTGTTTTGGGGGTTGCAAATCTTTGATTACAGCAGTGGGTTCTGCCCCTGTTTCCCACTGCTTATAAATTTATAGCAACAACCTTTCCCTCATAAGCAATACCATCCGTATCGGAGGATACCAATCATTAGTAAGAGATTTAGAGGGGATTTTAAATGTCTTCCAGGGCTTTTTAAGCAATCTGTTTAAAAGATTAATTTTATTTTGAAGGGATGGAACTGCATCTCTTGGAACAAAAAGTTAATTAAGACCAGAGCACCAAAATACCATTTTTCATCCTGGTCTGTGACTTGCGGTTAGGCGCTTGACCTCCTGAAATCAGAAACGCGCTGCATCTCTCCCTTGGCCGAGCTTGACTTTCCCAGCAGCAAGTCCTGAGTGCCAGAAGCCAGTTCGCAGGATCCCCATCCCGACCTCTCCGAGCAGAGCTTAAAGGAGCAAGGAAATCCATCCCGGGAAGGCACGGCAATGCCGTGTCACTCCTCTGTTTACCAAAGCTCAGTAGAGAGGGGAAAGAGAGCCCAGATGTGGGATGGGGAAGGCTGGGAGCTGTCTGGAGCATCTGAAACAAGGTCTTGCCCAGCAGCTTTGGGAATTTTTTGAGGGTACATCTCACACAATGCAATACAGGGGTCACCCCTTGGGGGAAAAAAAAAATGGATTTTCAAGGTGGTGGCAGATGTTTCTTTTCACTTTCACCAACAGCAGCTCAAAGCCTCTTCCCCATTTCTTGGGGACCGGAGGTGGTGCTGCCCTGCAGTGCCTGCTCCTTCTCCCTTCATCCTGCCCCTGGCACAGAGGGGCTGCAAAGAGGCTGCACAATCCCGGCTGCAAAGCGCCGCCTCGCCGGGCAGCACAGCCAGCGGCTGACAAAAGCGACTAAAAATTGTGTTGGACAGTCTATCCTCCCACTAATAAAAACTGGAAATGCCAGCAAGCCTTATTTGTCATGCTTGCTGATGCTCAGTGATGCTGTTGCCAGCATCTGTAGCAGCTTGATTCTGAAGGATTTTAAAGTGCTTGTTACTATTTAATGGCCCTTAACTGAAGTGCCCTGTGGATTGAAGCTTCCCCTGTTACTGCTACCATGGGGTACTTGGGCTTTTTGTTTCGATCTCCATCCTCTGGGTAGGAGTTCAGGTCTGATGCTAGAACCAGATGATCCCACCTGCTTTTGCAACCCCCTTCACACTCTGTCTCCATGGTGGCACTGCCGAGGGATGGGGAGGAGGAATAAAGTGCCCCCTGGTCCAGCCACTCCTGGGACATGTCTTGGTGGGAGGGTTGAGGGCTCTCCTATCACTGCCGGGACCATAAGGACCAGTTTGCTTCCTTTCCCCAGCAATTCAGTGAGGAAGAGTTTCCTATGGGAGTCCGGCAAGCCAGGCAGTTTTTCCTTCTTGGTTGTGCAGGATTTGGGATACCAAGATTGAGCTGGGAATCCCCTGGGGCTCACAGAGGACTGACTCCCTCAGGCTGGTTGACACTCAGGTCCAGCATTTTGGAAAGCAGGAAAGCGGCTGCCAGCAGGGACTGGACCAAGTTCATTTTCATTTGTCCCTCTGAAAGCCTTTGCTGGGTTGTATGTAGATGTATCTAGGAAGATGATCCCTTTCTGGCCATCCTAACACCAACTTTCATTCAGCTGCTTCTTTTTTCCTCCATCCTTCTTACAGGTACTTCAAAGAGGCATTAAGACAAAAAGTAACCTCTGATCCCCCCGCCAAAAACAAGGAACCATAAAGCCAAGTTTGGCTCTTCCCTCCTAATAATGAATATAATCCACTGGTCCTTGTGGCTGGAGACTGCTGGGACAAGATGACAGCCCCAGAAAGTCATTGCTGACAATGAGCCTATTTACTTTCAGGGTTAATTAACACGTACCCTTATCAAAAAGAAAACAAACAAAAAAGTATTGCTGAGGAACAAGGAGGGAAGATAAAGCACCATCCTCTTCATGCATCCAGAGCTTGAGTGTCAGAAGAGCTCCTCAGGCAAGAAATACAAAGCAAAAAGTGCATGTGGTCAGAGAGCAGAGGGACTGAACGCATCAGGAAAGTGCTGCTACCCTTCTGCAAATGCCATTTTGAACAAGTCCTGCCCCTCCATAGCTCTGGGATTTTGAGCCGAGGGAGGGGAAGGAGAAGGAACCTCGCTCTGCAGGTCAGCAAAACACCTCTCTGCTTCCAGAAGTGGCTGGAGAGCTGAACACCCACTGCCTTCAAACAAGGGTAGGAAACGGGCACAACTCATGTCCCTGCTGAAGCGGCACTGCCAGGGCCGTGACATACACTAGAAAGATTTAAATTCCCTTTAACATCAGTGCTGGGAGGTTGGGGAACCAGCTGGATAAGCCTTCACCTGTAGTAATTAGAGTCGAAAGGGTAATGAGAAGATAAGGGTGAAAGTCCCCTCTCTCTGTAACCTGAATGCTGGGGTTAAAGTCCTGATGGTAGAGTTACTGTCCTCCTCAAAGCTGTCTTGATTTGAGCAGAGGATGTTTGGGCACATCCAGAACAGAGAGGGGAATCTTGTCTGTAGGCACTTCTGAGCTGGGGGCTGCTGAGCGATGCTGCTCTATGGGGCATCTCCCACTGCCTCTACTTTGGGGACTTCCAGGAGGTTCCCACTTGGCATCCTGGTCAGCGGTGAGTTTGCAGGGCTGCTCCTCGCACAGCTCAAGCCAGAGTGCTCCCAGGAAGCAGAGGGACTTTACCCCGTCACACTGTATCAGGAGGAGAGGGAAGACGGGACACCAGCATGGAAAAGAGGTGCAAGGAGAGGAAAAACACCTGAACAGAGTGTCCTGGATACTGGGAGAGCCCAGGTCTGCCCTTGCACCATCCCTGCTGAGCATCCCTCCTCCCCTGCTATCCCACCAGGCTGGATGCAAGCAGCAGTGTCCCAGTACCCAGCACTGCAGGACACCCTCACAGGTTACCTTCTGGTTCTCCCTTTCCAAATCTAATCAACGAGGCAGCTCCTGAAGCCCTTCTACATTCAGTGCAGGTTCCAAAAGACACCAGCAGGTCCTAGAAGTGGAGCTCAGCGGGTGGCAACACTGACTACAGATGCACGGGAAAAGGGCTGCAGCTCCAGTGATCTGCAGCCTAAGGTGGGAATCAGCCCTTACAGGAAAAAGAGGAGAAAAGTTGGGAAATCAGTTTGCCTCTTTTGCTACCTAATTCCAATATGCAAGTTGGTAAGACAAGCTAACGGGTGACCCTCTTTCTAAGCGTGTGCTCCTTTTACCGGAGCCCATGAGAAGAACCCGAAACCATGACTCCTCCCTGTATTTTTTGTTTTCATTTGTTCTGCAACTGAATAAGTTAACAAAAGGGAGTCAGACCCATTCTTTCAATTTGGCTTATAAAAAAAAAAAAAAAAAAGTCTGGGTGTGAACTTCTCTCTCAGGCTTCAGGATTTACCGTCACTTCATAAACCCCTGAAAATAGGAGTTTATAATAGGAGACTCCTGACACCACCCTCACAAGGAGTGCCACCTATCTTCCCGGGATTGTTTAACAAGGAACGTTTTGTTATCAGGGTAGGTTTCATGAATACTATACAGGTGAATAAAAAAATACATATATTCTCTTTGAACAAGAATCCCAAGTCCAGGCATGTGGAAGGCTGTGGCGCAGGGACTGGCGTAAGCAGGAGGTCCTCGAGTCCCTCACGAGTGATGGCTGTTGATCAGGCTGCGGAGCTGCTTGGCCACGGTGTCGATCAGCTTCTGTTTGTCCCTCTCGTTTTTCCGAAACTGGGCAAAAACGTTGTTTTTTCTGCTCGTGTCTCTCATCCTGCGCAGAGCAGAAACAGGTTATGGCACAGGTACCGCTGCTCTACGTTGCAACCAAGCCCCACAAAGGAACTGCATGGAAAATGCCCCTACTCAGGCTCTGATAGAGAGAGCAGGTGACTGCACCTAAAGGCTCTGTCCCAATTTTTATCACGTATTTGTGTAAAGACAGGCATACCAAACCACATGCAGGCTTCACACAGTTTACATTTTTTGCTTTAAACCCCACAAATCCTGATCAATAAAACTGCAGGCCCTTATCTCTAATGCCAAAATGCCTGAAACCCTAAAGCCTCTCGTTCTCCCCTTCCAAACAGCTTTTACTACGTCCCCATGTTATCTCATGAAGTGGTAAATGACAAAGCTGTAATACTAGGAGGATATTGAAAAATTAGCATCAAATCCACAGTATTAAGGCTTCTTACTGAAAAGGTGCATTGCATGCGGTCAAGAGATACAGCTTTTGTGAGGATCATAAAGCTTTGGAGTTGTGAACTTGAAATATTACACAACATTATATAATATAATTTATACTAAAGGAAGGAATCCAGCACTGGTTTCCTCATCCTACAACTTCCTGAGATTTGGAATTTTTTAAAATTACATTTAATAGATAAACAAGTGCACTAGTCTCCACAAGGTGTCCAAAAAGGCAGAGACAGGAAGAGCGGGTGGTGGGACGGGACCTGAAGGAGAAGCTGGTGCAGCTCCATCTCTCTCTGCCATGCAAAGCTGGGGGTTCATGCACGCTTGCATTCGCAGATGCATTTGCGGGGGGCCGGGGGGGAGGACAGGTCTCATTGCACACTCCAAGCGTTAGCTTTACGCAGGCAGGACATGTGCTGGGAAGTGAAACCACCCCACAAGGGTCAACCCTTCAGCAGCTCCTGAAGGTATCAGTCTCAATATCCAACCTCTGGTTCTCAGCTGGCACCGCTTTTTTATATTACCACAATTTGTAAATGATTTTCTTGGTGAATCTGATCTGGCAGAGGCAGGTTGCTTTGGACGAGTCACATAAGCCTCTGTTTTCAGCTTTGGGGACTTAAATGAAGCATTAAAGTGACTGGGACGCAGCGCGGATAGTCCCTGGGAAGTTGGCACTTTATCAAACCAGGGTTTTTGAGCTAACTGAGCACAAATCAAACCTCTTGAAACTTATTTAACCGATTAAAAACCCATAAAATTCTAAGGTTTTTCATGCTTCAATCTTCCTAAAAAGAGCCAAAGGGAATCTGAAATGTTCCCAAAAACACTCAGCTTGGAACTGGAAATAAGGATAACAACTTTATCCCAAAGGCTAATTTGCTAAAGTTATAAGTGCCCAAAGACACAGGATTACAATTGAGCTGCTTTCCCAACAGTAACAAGATAGCTTGGAGCACTTCTATTCAGCAAAATAAGTATTATTTTTTTTTCTTTCTGTATTTTTTTTAACTAAAGCAGGTTGCCAGCTGCTCCACCGCAAGAACCAGGGAGCGATCGCACCGACGGGAAGTGGTGTTTTTGAGTCGCACAAGTCAGAGGTGTCCCAGTATCATGAATTTTGAAAATAACCATCCTCCCATGGGACACCTCCAGCAGCCCTGTATGGCTCCAGCAGGTCTCAAAGCACTTTACCAAGAGGGCTGAGAGCTCTGTTTCTATTTCACAGGCTATGTAGGGCCATCAGAGGTGATGAAAGTAAACCTGTACCGTCAGAAACCTCCACCCAGCACTGTACCCGTCACAATCCATCACTGTCTGCTGCAGTTACCTCCAGGGAACACATGGGGAATTTATAGCAGAGCATCCTCTGCCCTAAGAGCCTGCCCATCCTGGGCATCTTCAGAGCCATCTCCAATCCTGTGGGACCTCCTTCAGGTCCATGAACTGTTTTTGAAGTAAGGCATGTTGTATGCAAGAAAACCTTTGCATGTGTTTGAACAATTAGAAAAGAGTTGCATGGATAAAGCTACTGGATTGGGATGAAAAAGCATTACAGTCATAGTACTGATCCCACAACATGGGATCCACCTACACATCACGCAGGTGGATCTGTTTAACTGGGGACGAGTGCCTGGGAGGGACACTGCTGGTACCTCCAGACATCACGTGAAGGCAGAGGCACTAAGCTATTAAGTATTATTAATGAATTAAGTTTCCTACAGGAAACTGTATTATTAAGTATTATTAATGAATTAAGTTTCCTACAGGACACAAAATCCTGCAGAATTTGGGCTGTGCTGTACCAGGGACCAGGCAGCATCGGGAACAGCTACATCCTTGGGAGAGGCTGAGCTTGCAGATCTGTTCGAGGAGACCACGCTGGCTCTGGTCCTGCCATCAGAGCCCTGCAGACGGACACTGAGCTGACACAATGTGGTCAAAGGCACTCAGGCGATGCTGAATGCCGTCCTGTTCCTTTGCTAGCATTTGGCTATAGGAACCACATAGTCCCTGGTCAAGTGGTGCATCTATACACCAAGAATATCAACTTTGGAAGAAGGAAGAAATGCTTTTGAGTGGCTCAGAAGCTCTTTGGAGGATCGATACTTTTATTCCTTGAAGCATGTGCCTGCAGAGCCCTGGGACAACCAACCCTGGTTTTGTAATGTGGTCCCTGTGTGTTAGAGCAAGAATTAAAAGTAAGAGGAAGGGAAAGAGAGAGCTCAGCACTGTCCCCACCCCTGTCAACAAACACCACCTTCAACAGAGCCAAGCTTTGTTTAAATTAATCTATAAGAAAAAAAAGCAACAGAGTAAAAGCTCCTCTTTTAGCTCTAATTAGTGCATTTGAGACGATAAAGTTACCGTAGGGAACCGTTTCAAAGACAGCTTGCATTTAGATCATTTAGTGCTCCATTTAAATTAAACAATAAAGTCACTGCAAGGTGAGGGTAAAAGCCCAAGCAAGCAGCATACTTACACTCGTGATATCCTATGAGAGATGTGTGATTAGGAAAAGAGATAATGATGAAAACAGGTTACAAAACGAACCAGAGGATCAGAATTTCACGTCGCTTTGTCGGCAAAGCTTGGCTGCCTACGGAGAGGGATGGGGAGGTGGGCTTGGAGTGCAGAGGGGAGTGGACATGCCTGAAGCTATGGCCAGGTCAGTGCAGAGTCTCAGGGGAGCTGGAGCTGGTGGATGGCACACAGAGACTCCCCAAAGGGCCTGAAGCCTGAGTGGGGATAGGGCAGAGCCCACTGGAGCATGCAGGCAATGCCACGCTCATGATGACACTCAGGCAATGCCATGCAGGCAATGCCATGGCATGAGGATGTGCAAGATGCAAGTGCCGACCTGATGACTCCACCTGGGCTGCCTCTGGAAAGCAAGCTGGATATGTGAAGATTGCTCTTCAAATGAGATCCTTTTTAGGGAGAAGGCTGGCAGGCCAAGCTGGGACTTGTGGCTTTTTAATACCACCACTGAGCACGGACGCTGTGCGCTCAAGTACCAGCTGAGGAAAATGGAGCTGCCCTCCTGCTGTCAGATCCCAGATCACTGCCTGCCCCCAGTCCCCTGGTTCCTCCAGCTGCTTCATGTCCAGGCTCTCAGCTTTTTGATAGCTCTTTATTTTACCATTTTATTGGTAGCTCTGAATGTACCTCACACTTTTGCATCACAGATGTTTGGTTGCGAATACTTTGTGGGTAGCATAAGCTATTACAAAGTACATATAAATATGTAGACAAAAGCAATGCTATAATGTATAAAAGTGCTTTACACACAGCAACTACCTAAGTTTAGTCCCTGTGTACTGTACTGATAACATTTGGATGTCATGAGTTGCTGTGAAATTAGCTATTCTCCTCTGCACTTACGTGGACCACAGATTGCAACTCCAAAGCTCAGCAGTACATCAAGGTCAGTCTTCTAAATGTTTAGCCCCAACTCTAAACTAGTCAGCTCCTCCTCTGATGGCAGTAAAGGGGCAGGAGTGCGGCTGATCCTCAAGGTGAGAGCCTGGAGGTCTACCAGAGAAAGGGTCACCCGGGCCACCTCCTACCACAGGCAGAATGGGTGACTAGTGGCACTTCTCTCCCACGTGCTAGAAGGGTTACAAGCAAAGCAAATCCCACTCTTAGGGTCTGCAGCAAATTCATGGGCTTTCCCTCCTTACTGCTGGATTGTAGGACTAAAACAAGGTTCCTCACTATGCTTTGTGTGGGATCCCAAAGCCTTGCAGAGTCCACATGGCGCTTGCCTGGCATGTCCCAGCCAGCCCCAGGGCTTGGACGGAAGCTGCGCAAAGCATATAAACTACAGGCTTTGGAGAGGCTCAGACTCAACCTTATCAAAGAGCATGTCCTCACTAAGAGCAAGCCTTGTAGCACACAGGCACCTAAAGACGCTGTCCCTGTCCCATAGCTGGGCTTTTAGCCCTTGATCTCCTCCATGGATCCAACAGAAGGGAGATACATGTGCCTGCAGGCTAGCAGATTTTAAATACTTGTGTGGGCTTGAGATACACCTTTATAGTGGAAGTCTGTTGTAAGACAATGAAAATTCTGCTTAAGAGTGAAGCAAAAAGACAGACCCTCAGCCAAGTCAATGCATTTCGATACAAAACCTGGGATCCAGTTAACAGGATAAAATAGTATTTTTCTATCCAAGCTACCACTGTCCACCCGGGGGTGAAATCTTTGCTCACCGGACCATAAGCAGCTTCCTGCTCCCCAGGCTGCTCTGTCCGAGCGCTGTATGTGATGGAATGAGCTACTAAAACACGTGCTTGCCCAAAGTGAAATGGGGGGGAAATCTACCCTGGGTGTCCGGACCCGCACTCACTTTTCCAGCAGGATGAGGGCTGTCGTCGGGTTCACGCGAAGATACTTGCACGTGGGTTGCCCGTAATCAGCCAAATACGTTGACCAGTCCCACTGGATGAACAGATCTAAGAGCTGCAGCAGCCACCGGAAAGAAAAAACAAACGGAAATAGAAGATTTGAAAAAGCTGTCAAGAGAGCAGGTGGTTTATCTGAAAGCTGGCAAAGATCCTGGGCAGGTTGCATTTACCACAAAAAATGGTTTGTGGTCTTTATTAATTTATTTAAGATTATTCTGCTAATAGTTAATTATTTATTCATTCATATTAAATTATTAATTTATTAATATTTAATGCTATTTTATGCATGACTATATTCATTTATCCATACTACACTCCTGCCACTTTATCTCTATTTTTGGGGTGAAGTAGCAGTACAGGGGATATGAAGACTGAGACAGCCTGAGGAGGTAGGTAGAAAAGAACCCCAGTGCCCTGATGCTCTCAGCTACAGCAGGAGGACACTTTTGGGGTCAAAGTCACCACAAATATTTTCCGTTCCCAAATAACTCCCAGGCTTTGTCTGAACCATGCCACAAGTTCTTCTTATTATGCTTGCTTCATCTCTACATCTTCCAAGGCCTTTGTAAGTGTCTCTAACAGCAAGAGCTTCCCAGTGAGGTGTGTGACCCCTGCAGGAGCTCAGGGGTTTTTCTTAGGTGAACAAAACAACCGGAGAAGACTGGGAGTCCCAGGTGCTTTCCAACTGTTTGTCAGAGAAACCACTGCTGACCCCAGCAGCAGGGGAGGGAAAAAGCAGATTAATTCAGGTATCCGTGACAGTTCCTGCTCCCGATACCCAAAATTCACACCTGAAGCCCTTCACTTCTGCAAAGGACCCCCTCAGTGCCCCATTGCTCCCAGCTAATTAGGGTGAAGAAGGAGCAAACTACAGCCCAGGCATCCTAAATGCCCTCATCCACCCCACCTTTTGCACCCTTATTTTTCTTAAAACCCCAAATAGGAGCTCCCATGTCTTTTCCACACGAGGACCTCCTCAATCCTAAGAGGACTTGCCTCTCCACCCACCCAGGAGAGCACAGCTGAGGATGCAGGACGTGCAGCCTTCATATCCATCATCTAAAACAGGTTAATTAAGAGCGGCTGTGTTTTCCCCTCCAATCTTGTGCCTTGGAGAGCTGCTGTGACCGCTCTATTGCAGGACAGGCTGCCAAGTGCACGGACGTCTTCATCGCCTGCGTCTGCACGTCCCGGCGGCCACCACTGAAGCCCAGAGAAGAAGGACCATCCTGCGGCCAAGCAAGGACCATAGAGGGCTCTTTGTCCCCGCGTCTCCATGGTTTTCCTGGAGACTCCAGCACTGTTTAACAACACATCCCGCCCCGCCAAGAAGGGGATTTGGCTCCTCTGAGACCTCAAGGTACAAAACAAAAATGTGCAACAAGATTCTTTTTGACTATGTAGGTCAGGGCAAAGAAAACAAGCTGTTGGGAACAATCCCCCGGGCTGGCGGGGGGGACGGATTAGCTGGGACCTAAGAGGGCTTTTCCAGCCCGCGGTCCTGCGCGCTTTTGTACGGCAGGCCCATTGTGTTAACTACAAACCCGAGTTGAACATCATCGGCAGGAGTTTTTTCCAAAGGGCACCTTCAAGAGACAACCTTAAATATGATTTCACAGGCTCCTTTCATACAGCACAGCGGGGCCAAATCTCTTCTATCGGGTTTGCTGGCTGCTGTGGGAAGCTGCACGGTTGTACAGGCTAAATCGGATCCCCCCCAACACACCAAAGTCCTCTTGCCAGTGGCCCTGGGGGGGCTGAACGTGCCTCTGGCAAACAACGAACAAAGCAGCACGAGTTATTGCCATAGAAAGTGCATGGCTGGACCATCCAGGGGTCAGGTAGCCGTTCACGGGGAGTGGAAATAAGGCCCCAGGAGAAAGGAACAAAAAGAGAGCCAAAATAAAAAGGTGATGATTAGAAGTGGGTTAGGAGAACACAAAATGAAAAGCATTGGGAGGCGTTATAAACAGGAGGCTTAGGGAGACAGCAGAGGCTCGGGGAGCCATGCAGGAGCTCAGAGGACGGGTAAAGAAAGGGCTTGGAGAAACTTCCCCTGCATGTCCCTGAAAAAGTGTGGCTAATCCAGCATGGGGTGATTTTTAAGCAAAAGTCAGATGGATGGCCATCTAGTCATCCCTAGGGGCAATAGTTTTAAACTGAAAGCGGGTCAATTTAGACTGGACATAAGGAAGACATGTTTTACTATGAGGGTGGTGAGACACTGCACCAGGTTGCCCAGAGAAGTTGGAGATGCCCCATCACAGGAAGTATTCAAGGTCAGGCTGGATGGGGCTTTGAGCAACAATGATCAAGTGATAGCTGTCCTTGACTATTGCAGGGGATGTTGAACTAGATGATCTTTGAGGGTGCCTTCCAACCCAAACCATTTTATGATTTTTACTCTCATCCATCACACCATTAAGGTAGCTCCAGCTGCGTGCATTGCTACATGAGTACAACAGGCACATCTGAGAGAAACCCCAATGCCCCTGGGGTGTTGGTCGACAGCCAGCTGAATATGAGCTGGCAGTGTGCCCAGGTGGCCAAGAAGGCCAATAGCATCCTGGCTTGTATGAGAAATGGTGTGGCCAGCAGGACGAGGGAAGGGATCTCCCCCTGTACTCAGCACTGGTGAGGTCACACCTCGAATACTGTGTTCAGTTTTGGGCCCCTCACTACAAGAAAGACATTGAGAATCTGGAGTGTGTCCAAAGAAGAGCAACAAAGCTGGTGAAGGGTCTACAGCACAAGTCTTATGAGGAGCAGCTGAAGAAACTGGGGCTGATTAGTCTGGAGAAAAGGAGGCTGAGAGGAGACCTTATCACTCTCTCCAACCACCTGAAAAAAGGCTGTAGCAAGGTGGGGGTTAGTCTCTTTTCCCAAGTGAAAAATGATAGGACAAGGGCGAAATGGCCTCAAGTTGCGTCAGGGGAGGTTTAGATTGGGTATTAGGAAAAATTTCTTCACCAAAAGGGTTATCAAGCACTGGAACAGACTGCCCAGGGAAGTGGCTGAGTCACCATCCCTGGAGGTATTTAAAAGATGCAGCATTTAAGGATATAATTCAGTGGTGGAGTTGGCAGTGTTAGGCTTAAGGTTGGAGTCGATGATCTTAAGGGTCTTTTCCAACCTAAATGATTCTACGATTTTAAATAAACCTCATCCTAAATGCGCTCCCACCATGGGCTGGACCTTCCCCGAGGGCTGGGAGAGCCAGACTCCCCCCCGGCCGGCTCAGACAGTGACGGATGGCCTGTGTATTTTACAACTGTTTGCCCACATCCATCTTGCCGGCCAGGCGGGTCCGAGGATAGCCGGGGCCGGCACCTTTGGCCCCCGGGTGCCGCTCGGCGCGGGGCACGGCCAGCGCTTGCAGGGCTCTGCCGCGGGTCGAGCTCCGCTGCGGAGAGGTCTTGCAGGAGGAAGCCTGATGGCTCAGGGCAAGCTGTCTCGAAACGATTTATCTGTCACATAAATGTGGTTTTATTGGTTTTACTGTTTAAACTTTTCACCTCTGCTGCTAAATCTGAACGGCTGAAAAAAAAAAAAAAAAAAAAAAAAGAAAGGAAAAACCCCCCCCAGGAGAAAAGAAGAAAGAGAGAGAGAAGGAGAATCCCGGAGGCCAAGACGAAGGACAAGTCCCGAGGAATCCGAGGGGCTACAGTCTCTAGTAGGCTGGGCGGTACCAAAGCCAGCATCTCAGCTCTCACTTTTAGAAGCGGAAAAAAAAAAAAAAAAAAAAAAGAAAGGAAAGGAAAACCCCGCCTGCACATCGGAGCTGGGCCGCGGCGGGCCTGCCAGGGGAGATTCCAAATAAAATATGCAAATACCATTAATTCTTCAAACTAGAGTCTCCTTTTCAAGGCTATAAATCAAACCCGACAGCACATACACTGGGGGGAAAGGAAAAGAAGGGGAGGGGGGGCAGGAAGAAAAGAGGAGCTTTTACCGTGATGATATGAAAGTGGAATAAGCCGAGAGCACTGCAGACGTGCTGCGTGCACGGAGCAGGCTGTCAACTTGCAGCTTCCTGGGGCACCAAAAGCATCTCTGCTGCAAGAGCGGGGAGAGGTTCACGTATATACTTATAAAAATGAAGAAATGGAGAATGGCTTGAGTATGCCTCCAAAAGAAAGGTACTGAAAAAAATAAATAGTTTTTATACACATATATGAGCTCTTACTCAAATGGCGATTCAAGAGAGGGCAACCCTGGAAAGAAAGAATTAAACTGGCAACCAGTTCCCAGCCCTGCCCCAGGCTCCCGTTGGCAGGGGCCAAGAAGCGCTTTCTCCATATTTCCTTGAGTCCCACCTCAAAAAACACTTTCTTTTCATTCCTCTTCTACTATCACCATCTCAAACTCTTAATAAATGTTATTTTTTTTCAAAGCAAAGGCATGTTTTTACAGCTCTCACATCAGGTACAGGGAAAAGATGGTTACAACTTAATTGCATGCTGGTGGCAAAGGAATGGGGACATCACAGTGACTTTGCAAGCTTCTCCCTCCAAATGCAAAGCAAAGTGGGACAGTGTGTTCTGTCTGACATGAAATGATATAAATCTGGATAAAATTCTTTCAGCCAAGCCAGAAATAATGTAATGTGAATCCAAACTGATTCAAAACACAGTTTGCAAGCTCTTCCAGCGCCTCTGGAACAAGATCGAAGAAAGCACCAGCGTTTGCACAGCATCATGGTGAGCTCAGTACCAGCCTGGGAGGTGATGCATGGTGGCCAGCAATAAAGAAGATGGCGGGAAAGAGAGACACATGTTTTCTAAGATGAAAATAAACCCACATAAAAGCCCCTTGTTCTATGCCAGAGAAGTCAGGATGATGTTGCAGGGATAACTCTAGACAAGGGATCCTCTAGGCCCCAAGGACCTCTCCTCCCTTCCTCAAGCCTAAGAGATGAAGGGCAAGGACAGATGAAAATTCCTTAATTTCCCACTTCATGCAAAGTTTGGCTCTTCTTTTTTTCTCTTTTCCATCTTCTGAACTGATGCAGTGACACTCTGAGCACCCACGAACAGGGATCTGCACCCAAACTCT